GCTTGCGGCAACGACGCCTTGGTGGGAAATCGTCGAGTTTATCTCGAAGACAGGACGTACTCGCATTCCGATATGGGATGGCAATCGTGACAATTTCGCGGGCCTGCTGTACGTCAAAGACTTGCTTACGGAACTTGCTCGACCGGAATCGACTCGCAAGTCACTACTGGAGCTAGCTCGCCCCGTCATTCATGTCCCACAAAGTATGACGGTCAGTGAACTGCTGAAATATTTCCTCCGCAAGCGAACCCACTTGGCTTTGGTAGTCGACGAGTATCATGCTGTCACCGGCTTGGTAACCATCGAAGACGTGTTGGAAGAGATCGTTGGTGAAATCGTCGACGAACATGACATCGACGAAGCGGACAACGGGATCATTCAGGTTTCTGACGAAGAAGCGGACGTCACCGGGAAAGCACATGTCGAGGACATCAACGAAATNNATACCATCGGCGGTTTGGTGATTCACGAAATGAAACGCATCCCCAAACCGGGCGAACAGCTTCAAGTGGGAGATGTTTCCATTCAGGTCGTCGCCTCTGACCGTCGTCGAATTCATCAGCTTCGCCTGGTCCGATCACGGCAAAATAAAGTCCAGCCGGCATAGTTGCCAGCATTTCACCGTAGAAAACTCTTGATCGTATGTCGGCGGAAAAGTCGCTAGCAATCGTCATTCGCACCGTCGACTTCAGCGAGACTTCCTCGATCGTCACGCTCTTTACCGAGGATTTCGGCAAGATCACGGCGCTAGCAAAGGGATGCAAGCGTCCCAAAAGCTCGTTCGAGTCTGCTCTTGACGTTTTGACCGTAAGTCGAATAGTCTTCCTCCACAAAAAAAGCGACAGCCTGGACTTGTTGACCGAAGCGAAGGTCGAACGAAGATTTCGAGTTGGGCAGAAGAGTGTCGAACATTTGTATGCCGGTTACTACGTGGCCGAGCTGTTAACGCAGATGACCGACCACTCCGATCCCCATCCGGAAGTCTTTCACTTGGCCGAGGAAATATTAGATCGGTTGAATAACCTTCAGGATGTCGCGCCTTTGGTGTTGCGGTTCGAGATGATGCTGCTCCGCTATTTGGGACAACTGCCGGAACTGACCCATTGTGTCGAAACTGGCGAACCGATCCCGGAGCGGGGACGTACTCCCTTTGGACTACTCGCCGGTGGCGTACTGTCGAGAAGAGCACGAAGTGGTCATCGTCAAGTCATCGATGTGGCGGTCGATTCACTTCACCTTTTGTCAATTTACGCCGCAGAAGACGAGCGATGGCAATCAACGGAAATTCCATCACGCTTGGCCATGGAGGTCCGAGCA